CAGAAAACAAAGAGATGCATTGGTTTTGTGGGAATCGACATTGGATCAATGGTGGAGCAGACACGAGCGGTTCTATGGTTGTGATTTCCTGAGCTTGATACTTGATTAACAACTTGAAGTGTTGGATACTTGTTGGTCGGAGCTGGTTGATTCTTCTAAATGTAATGTGTTAGAAAATATTTTATTATTATTGTACAGGTAGACAGCCAAGTAATGATGTGCTACTAAACTGGTTTCATTTCTAAATATTGAAGCTTTCTATGATTGTGTACATGGCTAGTGAGCAGTATTTATGTGCTACTGAATTAGCTAAAACAAGAGGTCTACACCAAATCAGAGAGTATCACAATCTGATATAACCATTGAGAATGCATATAACTTGTCCTCCAATATTCTATATTGCTCTTTCCGCTCTGCCGCTGACATTCCCAGTGCCTCTCGTTTAGTATCTTCAATACGACTCCAACGTGACGCTGAGCTTGTGAGTTGATCACCTGCGGCTCGTTGAACAGTGATCACAGTGCCAAATACGGCTCGCAACCCCCAATCCGTGGTATACTTAGTATATCCAGTAGTGTCGTGTGTACGGGATTCCTCGAGAACAATAGTCTCGGTTTCTCTTGAGGTGGCACTTTTGCTGGTTTTCACACCACCAACGAAGAATGGACGAAGAGTTTCATGCTCCTGTAGTCGAATTTCCAAAGACCCTCTCCGCATGTGACGACAAAATGGAGGGCCATCCAACTCTTCCAGAATTTGTAGCTTCTCAATCTTGCCTGCCGCAAGCATTCTACAGAAGTTCATCACGACAACTGAGTAGAACTGGTATGGGCGTCCATCCACGTGTCTAGGAGCATACAAGACAACAGTTTTCAGGCTCGAGAGTCGATCTAGGTCTTGCGGAATCGGAGGCAATTTGTACTCATAATAGTCGTAGTGTCGGTCCCGGAACGGCCCAACTGACATATATTGTTGATAAATATCTCCAGCGGGTTCACTTTCGCTCTCCCAATGGTGAACTTCTGGGAAGGTTATATTAGTAAAATAATAATTTTGCCAATTTTTGTTTGCAAACTCCTCCAGAAGTAATCTTCCCCCTAAGATCAACGTCGTCGTATTTTCGAGGATCTGAGGAGGACTTGAGTCAAGAAATGCGAAAAGCTCGTATGGATGAGAGTCGAACAATATCCGGCCATCCGCGAGTATTCTCAAAAAGTCCGGCTGCGCACCCTCCTGGAACATACGGTTTTGAAGGCCTGATTCTGAGCTGAGTGCAAATTTCGACATGATAGCTTTCGCCTCGGAGCGTATCTGTTTGTTGACGCCAAGAATACGGCTAGTGGCAGTGTATTTTAGACTCTCAATACTCTCGCACTGAAAAGGCTTATAATTCTCGTCCACAAGAAGATGGTTCTGAAAGCCGTCGCCATAGTGGGTAGCGAGCCTGGCGACATAATTATCTCTCCTCGACTTCTCCTGAACAGGTAGGGACAAGAGGAATGGTTCTTTGAGTTTCCTTATCTAATGTGTTACTTGGGCAAGAATAGCTACGAGGAAGCGGCAGATACTAACGAAGCGGTCGTCATATTTGTTGATCTGAACGTCGATTTGATAGATCGAATGCAGAATGAGATGAGTTTGTCATGTAGCTACCCTTCTGGAATGGGCACGATCCCGGAGAGCAGTAGAAGATGTTTCGTGGGAAAAGAGAGTCGCTCGGCGTGAGGTTACTATAATGTCAGGTTAAAAGTTTGTTTAGGATTTCGGAGACCCCTCCAACGAAATTTATTCTTGAATAATTCTGCAAAATTGGTTTTGGTGAATACAGAATTGTTTTTAGTGAATATAAGTTATTTTACAGCACATGAATCTGAGACGAGGTTGGAACTGATGCAGAATAACAACATCGACAAAGACGTGGTGCGAGTAGTTATCGTAGCTATTCGTTTGCCTTTACGTTACGTATGTTGTAGATTTTGGGACACGTTTGAGTTGTTTGAGATTGGAAGAAGATGTCATAATTAAGCATTCTCTTGTCTATTCAGGTCTAATTTCTGTTGCAACCTTACTATCTAGGCTTGCAAAATCAGAGAGCTAAGCAGTGTCAATACTCTTCAGTGACGTACGACTTAGCTATTCATTCTCCTCTCTTAGAAGATTATACCGAGATCAGCTCTGACGGTTGAGAATACACGCAACTTTTCTTCAAGAATTTTGATCTGCTCATCTCGCTCTGCGTCCGACATTCTCAGCGCTTCTCGTTCTACTTCTTTGAGACGAGCTTCTGATCTTTCTTGTTCACCCTTCTCAGCCCGCTGCACTGTGATTACACTGGTGACCCTTCGATCGAACCCCCAGTTGCAATTTACTACACGCTCAAGTTTTCCGTTTCGGTAGATATGAAGGCGCTGTAGTACTGCACTAATCGCCAATGGACAGCTAGCAATCTGGAACAATCTGAAGAGTGATTGTTGGCCCAGAGCTACAATACTAGAGATCCGTGGTGCGAATAAGGGCCTTGGGGTACCATCTTTTATTGAGGACATGAAGTTCAATGGGAAGTGCCGAATGAATGTACAGGTAGCTTGCTAGGCAACGTACCCGATTTGACAGATTTCAAGGTTTGCAATGCAAAGTACCTTGGCTATGGAGGAATATGCCGTTGGCGTTAGCCAAGACAATTTGAAATTTAACTCGATAGATCACTTTCAGTATTTTTGTGTAACACATTTGAGATATTGAATGCAAGCCTTAGGATTTAAGACTTTGCGCCGAAACCTTACATTTGTAGCATTGCACTCTGTAATTTAATATATTTGAATCTACATTTAAGCAGCATCGATCCCTCCTATTTTCTTGAACAACAACCTTGAACAAGTCCTTAATTCTTCACTTTATCAAGCAGCCAAAACCTTTTCGACATGGCTGAATACACACTACTCTATGGACAATTTGTCATTCGCTATCCTGACCTCCCGAAGCAGGGCCCTGAGCCTGATGGCGATACAATGAAGTTCGCACCAGCTGATCAAGACCTGGTGTGGAAGAAGATTACACGAAGGTCGGGCAGACCACCAAAGATCAATCGTCGCGGTATCTCCGTCCGCCTTGAAGCTATCGATGCACTAGAGACGCATTTCAACGGCACTCATCAGGAACTCGATGGAGGCGAAAAAGCTCGTGACACGCTGTTGGCAAAGCTTGGTTTCACAAATATCAAGTACTGGGGGGAGCATCTTCACAACAAAATCCAGTCTGCCGATCAAGATAGTCTTCCTGGATTCGTATTGTCCAACGGTATTGATGCGAATGGGAGACTCATCGGCTTTGTGTACAGTGGTAACGATGGTCCTGGCGAAGATGGAGCAACAGTCACTGTCGATAATAAACTCATTGACAAATCGGTAAATACGAAGCTGCTGTCGGATGGTCTGGCCTTCCCAGCCTTTTACGGCACATTGCCATCCAAACTACGGGATCATCTAGTGACCAAGTCCAAGGCTGCTCGAACTGCAGGAAAAGGAATCTTGCCGCGCGCAACAGGCCTCCCGAAACGACCTGCAGAGGTTACTGACTTGGAATCGCTGACGATATCGGTCATCTGGCCAAAGTTATCCCGTCGCCTTGTCGTCTTCCTCAAGGAGACAGGCCCTGGACTTGAAGGATTTGAAGCGTGGCTTCGAGAGGACGGTGTTGATCGTGATGATAAGATGTTTCGGCTTGATACGAAGGAGAATGTTCGTTTCCACGACATACTGACCATCAAGGGGGATACAATTGCGCTCACTGTCCAGCCTGAGGTAATTGTTATTGAACCTGATCCAGCTGACGGATCTGGGCGATGATTGTAGTTCGTTGGCTGGATTTATCAATTTGCAAGCAGCAATGAGAGGCTCACAGGAGAATAAAAGTTTGTTGTTTCTTATTCAAAATGTGACACCAAATCGTATTTTGGCATAAGTGTTGTGTGAAATTAAAACCAAACTACTGCCTATAATCGTTTATATAAGTCTTTGATTACTGGAAAGGAAAGAGAGACATACCTACCTATAGCTAGCGCGCGCTCTCTCTCTCTCACACACACTCTCTCGGCATATTGGCAAAATCTCTAGTTTTATTTGTTATGTATAACAAGTCTTTTTTTCAATAGTGATACCAAGATCAACGTTCCTGTTCTTGGGACTCTTGCAATATCTGGTGTGTTGGAAGTTCTGTTGTTGTTGTGTTCTGGGCCCAACTGCCCCCAATTTATTTAGCGAGACATGCCCCGCGGCCCGATCCATCCCACCCCACCTGGATCACGTACGCGTTTTGGCGTGACCTACAGTACTGTGCTCACTATTTACTGCCAGTCTATCCCATACTTCCACCATACTCCAATCATGCAAGACATATCAGACATTTTAGAAGATCTCAATCGGAGTCATGACCCTTATGGGGCTGACAATTACAACGATGGGCGTCCATCTGGAGAAGCTGATCTCCAGGCCTTGACGCGAGCTTGGATCAATGAAAGAGGTACTGTCGAGCTTTTACCGTACAAACCATCAATTCCTTTCAAGTCGCAAATCTGACTTTGCTGTAGGTGGCCGAAAGATGGATTAATTGAACGCGTTACGGATTGCGTCAAGACGCAAATCGAAAAGGTCGAAGAGCTGACGGGCAACATGGAACCCAAGACGAATTTCAGTCTCATAATCATTCAAACCGAAGTCGAGCGATGGAAATTTCTTATTCGATCCTTCCTACGCGCCCGAATTGAGAAGATTGACAAACATACCCTCCATTACCTCTCTACGCCCGAATTACAAGCACGTTTGAGCGAGATGGAAGTCGCGTATGCGACAAGACATCAGCAGCTGTTACACCAACACTACCTTAGTAGTTTTCTCGGAAGTTTCCCGCAGAACCTACAGAACCTCAATGACACTGCTGGGGGTATATCTATGATCAGCGGGCCGGACGAAGAAAGCGGCGTTATTGCTCGAGGGCTAGGGTCAAAGGACTTTCCTGGGGAAGGTGTAATCGTGCAAGGAAGTGGGCGAGATGCAGATTCCCAAGTTGAGGTGGTCAGAGGGGAGGTGGTCGTGGCGAGATGGTCGGACGTGAAGGAGTTTGTTGAGAAGGGAGAGATGGAGCTTGTTTGATTACACATGAATCATACCAGACGATCCCTTTTTCCACACAATGCCATATTCCGACCTCATGCGAGAGTACGTCACAAAATCCGACGCTTTGTGGATTCCATTCAGGCCGACCCGAATTTTACATTTTGTGTTGAGCTTGAGAGGGGCATACGAAAGAGTAACTTTCAGCAAGTCCGACCAGAGACCCTGGAACTTCGGGACTTTGATAACAAGCGGCGTCGATCGACAAGATATGGCTGATATCCATTGGAGATACGTACAAGTCCGCTCTTGGGCATCTGGGTATAAATGCAAATCTTGTTTAGTTGGGATCAATCACATGTAGCCAGGAAGAAGTCTACTGGTTCCGACCAAGCGTCTACCTCAAGTCTTCTACCCCAACACTCGGGAAACTATTGGATATCAGTAAGTGCGGCCTGGTTCCTCTTGAACGGCTCTTATTGGATGGCTGTCTGTTTATGGCAAACGGCGAGAACCTTGCTGCAGCAGACCTACAACTCGGGAGTGATTAAGTCGGCTGTACGCGTATCGGGTTGAATGGGGTTTAGCAGCATGAATTCTTTGTAGGAATAAACTTTTCGCTTTGTCGATCGGATTATCCTACGAGAACATGGTCAAATTGGGCACCGTTGAATGCGCGATCGCACTCGTGCCGAAAACTCCCAAGGCAGGCTGGCCACTGTCCCCTCCAATGGAATAACGGCAACGACTACGGCTTCGCTGTTGGAGCAAAATGACACCTCCTGATGGGGCGAACCAAACAATCTTCCGGTCAGTCTTGCATAAAGAATAGCGCTCCTCGATTAGTCTGCAAGGATAGAAACGTTAATTAGCGATCTCGTCGGATTTATGGTCGCAGTGTCTTGCTCGGCTATTAACAGTCAGCGTCTTGCAGCAAGTCAGCCAACTCCGACTCTTTTTGATTGATCGAAATGCCCTAGCGTCTTTTCAGTTAACCCTGCAAAATTCTAGATTCAGCCCTGTTGCGGCGTGCGTATCGGTTGAGGAGTGGAATAAGAGACGAAAGGTAGCCGCTTGATCAGTTGTCAGTCTTGAGACGACCATCGTTACTATAGATCTGGTCTTGTTTGTCGTTCATAGGTATCTTTTTGACCTAAATTCTATTCCAAACCAATCACTATGTCCAGAAATAGTGCCCAGATAGCGCCAGAAGACATCTCGTCGAGTCTCCCACCCTCACGACCAAGCACCGTGAGATCAAACAACGGAACTTCAAGAGCTGGAAGACTTATTCGCAATGCACACCAGTCATTCACCGAGTCTAGGCCGCCGGTTGGAATGTTCCATGCTTTTGGGTCAGCGGCTTCAAATATACCCACCATGAACGACATTCAGACAGGCAAATTTGAATCTCAGGGTTGGTCTGGGCCTGGGCAAAGGAGGAACAGTACAGCGCATCGCGACTCGGACGCACAAGTGATATATACGCACAGGCAACGAGCTATGTCTGTTGCGTTGCCTTCCAAATCAGAAACGATTACCGAGAAGGTTGAGATGGAAGAGAGTGTCGAAGGAGTGGTTGGGACACCACAAACCGAGATCACAACCATGATGACCCCTCATGATCCCTCTGTCCCTTACGAGAATGGGTATCAATTTCCACCAAAGCACTCGGCTAAGCAAGCAACAATAATCGGCCTAAGATCATTCGGCAAGTGGGTCATAACGCCCTTTGGATTCCTTCTTACTTTATATGCGCTAAATATTGTCGCTTGGGGCGGTATGCTGTTCTTGATCCTGATCCACGCAACGCCTGCCATGGCACATCCTTCCTACAACGACGACTATAGTGGAGCTAAGATATGGCTCGAGATTACAGCACAAATCCTTAACGCTCTCTTCTGCGTGACTGGTATAGGACTCATTCCGTGGAGATTCCGAGACCTATGGTATCTCCTCAAATGGCGTCTTCGAAAAGATCACCATGGTCTCAGAAGATTAGCAGGTATCCACCGGGACTGGTTTCGTCTTCAAGGAAGTCAAGAAATCGATATCAACTATCATCCCGCCACAGACCCTCTTCCTGCAAACGTCGATGATGCCGCACTCGCCCTTCCGGTCTCCCGTTCTCCAGATGCGCCGCTTACCGGCGAGCGTGCCTCGCCCTCAAAGTACTGGTTCTTGGACTTTGTGATCTGGATGTTCGTGTTCAACACTCTTCTTCAAATCGTCCTCAACGGGTTCATGTGGGGAATGAACCGCTTCCATCGTCCGGGTGCCGTTGTCGGTCTTCTCATCTCACTTGCGTGCATCGTCGCTTCGGCTGCTGGTTATCTTATCTTCAGGGAGGGCAAGAGAGTCAAGAAGGTTGAGGGCGTGCCTGTCAGTGCCGAGGATCAGGAGCTGTTGAAGCAGATGAGGGAGAAAGATGCGGCTGCCGCTGCGGTTTAATATGGCGGTGTCGTGTTATGGGGACTCGGACTATACTCGAGGTATAAATGTATAGAAGAGGTCAAATTGGACATTTTATTGAGTGTATAAGCTGGCGTTTTCGCGTCTCGGGTGGACCGGCATATGACAGAATGTAATAAAACCATACAATGCTGCAGCCAACTGTTGGTCTATTGACTATTTTCTAGTGATGAAATTGGTAAGGTGATGGTGTCACCATCTTGAGAATAGTGGATGACCGGTGATTTTCGAAGCACGAGCAGAGATTAGCATCATCCCTTAGTTTCTCTTATTGTAACATGCTTCTTTCGCATTGAGATTCTCACCACTCAATGTTCAGATCTTGATTATATTCAATTTACAGGAAAGCTTAAGTTCAAATTAGTGCTGATAGTTCCTGGGACTAGCAAAGCAGAAAGATCGGCCGACGTGTACGAAGCCAAAAGGCATAGGAGCGGAGCCCTGCTTTCGTGTGATGCCGTTCGGGTTTCCACATCTCATTATCGTTCTTTTGGTCAAGTGAATCTTTTTGCACAACAATATAACGGCTCCTATTTTCTCCACCCTGTCAATGAACCCCCGAAGCCGTGATGCCAGTGGTTGTTGCCGTTCTTAGGATTGTCGCCGATCCGTCCTACTCATTCCCTCATTACATTTCCGCGGTATTTCTCTGTATATTAGCTCCAGATGCTAGCACGACTCTGAAACAACTGTGTCTAAATCTGCCGATAGACATCGTAACACACGACATGATGCAATCTACCAGATCCACAAAACAGAGCAAATCATGCTGTGGGCTGTGCAGCCTGTGGTATAGCATTCTGTCTAGGCTAGGATGAAGGGTGGGTTTTGTATGATGGTTTCCTAGAAATTGGTCGTAAGAATAGTGGCAGTTGTTGTTTTAGTTGTTTGCATTCTTCGTCAACTGATTCTTGGTCTGCTATTTTGTATTCACTTTTCTTTTTGGGGATGATGCTTCTGCTGTGGACAATCAATTCCAAGAATTAGGGGGTTTTAAATTAGCGCAAAAGTGAATCGTGGGTGAACATGCTTTTTTGGAGTAATTTGTAACATATAGAAACAGAAAGTGAGGAGATTCATAGATAGATATAACAGTACTCTGAGGAATAATTCAAGAAGGGTTTAAAAGGGTGCCTGACAATCAAATCAATTACAAGAACATTGCAGCCAGCCGAAGACCAGAAATGCAGCATAAGTAAGGAATCGTGAAGGCAGCTAGAACGCATCCTTGAAATGCTAGAGAAGCCTACAGATTGGTTAAATGACGAGGTAACATACTGTTGAGATACAATGCTTGTCTTGTCGATTGGAAAACAATGTGAAATCTATGTGGAATAATGTTTGAAAAAGGACAGACAGATTTAGGTTGAGTTAAAACCGCGATGACATAAGGCTTGCTACCGATTTAGGAGCTGCTGTCGAATGTGATGCTGTAATTGAAGCTTTATATAAAGTTTCCTTAAATAGCTTCTCAGTCTTAATTTCGAGATTAACCAAACTTGGGATACTTGAACCTTTCTGTTTGTCTACAAGGTGTGTCCGAGTCTTCTCTTGCATTGCTACCAATTGGTGGCTAGATGTGTGTCCTCAGATCTTAGTGATGACGAATTCTTATAAGAAGTGTTTTCTATCAAGACATCACCCAGGTTAATTTCTAACATTTAGGTGTAATTTCTACTCTTATGAGCCTCAACAGAAGTCTACTAGATACGAAACGCGAGGCGATTGTCCACTATTCGCTTCTAAGTGGCTTCATTAATCTTGAATGGCAGTCTAAGACCTTCAAGACAGATTTTATGTGGCTGCTACAAGAACTGTCTTCTAATGCACCTAATTACAATCCCACTAGATCCTCTCACCACACACTCACTTAATTCGTTAAATCCGATGGAACTGAAGAAACAGCGTTAATCACAAGAGACCTACATCTACTCTTAAAGGTCTAGAGACTCGTATTAAGACGCTCTCTTCGCTCGGATATGAAAATATCCGAAAACGAAAGAGATACTACGCGAAGAGGAGACTCAAAAGTTAACCTTGATGCACAAAACGAGTCCATAATTTTATGCGACACAGATCATAAATGCGACCCAGAATCTTGTGTAAGTTTATATATGTTGTGACCCTCCTGAGAGCAAATTGCATTTCGCTGCCGTTTAGGAATTTACTGCCGATTCTAGCACACTATTGAAAAATACCAAGTGGTCAAATTATCGACTGGAAAGTATTTTACCAGTTATGAAGAGTGTATAGAATTTTTCAATTCTGATCTAGTGAATCATGTAATTAGAACGCTGATAGGAACCGTGGAAATGTTCGCGATTGCCGTCTCTGTCTTCTTACTTTCTTCTTTTGAATTCTTTTTCAAAACAGGTTCAAAATCCAGATGCATTTCTCAGTTCATAGATTTCTTTTAGCACTTGCACGAGTAACATATCCACCTGTAATTAATATTTCATGAATCAGTTGTGTTTCCTGTTGTCTTTCTTTGAATATCAAGATCTTTTGGTATTTTGAAACACTTTGTCTACATTGAATTTGTGTGTAAACTTTCATGTTTGGGTTTATAAATATCACAAAACATCCAAATGATATTAAGGTAAAAGATTTTCATGTATGGCGATGTCTCAAATGCTGGAGAGCTCTGCTTCGCTAGTTTGAATTATATATTGCCCATTCAAATCCTTGTACTGATTCAAAAACTTAGCAATCAAACGTTCCCTTGAAAAAGTGGTATTTTGTAGAATTATAAGTAAGGGAAGAATTTGCCGCCGATATTAGTTTTACCACCGATAGTGCTCTTAGCTTTAAAATAGCCTCATGCGAAATCTCTTCCGAGTTGTGTATTGGAAAATGTTATGATTTTGGTAGCGCTGTCTATGCGCATACACTCTCTGAAGACAGGATACAAGACCATGCCTCACAAGTTAGACAAACTTTCCCTAGATTGATTGAGGTATACATTGTGATAAAATTTGCATATTAGGAAAGAAAGCTAGATTAAACAATTAATAAGTACTACATTGATCAAAAAATCAACCTCAAATGAAGTTTTTATACTTACATATATGGCTAGTACCCTAGAACTCTAGATTCCGTCTGCAATAGATGTAAAGCACTAAGAAAAACAATAATCCGAGTTATTCAATAATACTGGAGTGTTTTACATTACTGTTTTTCATGTTTCAGTGGCAATATTATATTTTGAAGTTTGGAAAAACAGTGACCCCTCGGATGCTGTGAAATCCTAATTTGTTCAACATTTGTACAATAATTAATGTAATCTTAACACTAGGTACTATCCGAGAACTGGATCAACATATTGTGGGCTTTGTTCCATAAGTAACATATTGAGATCTTACACAAATGAGTTTTGTGAAGTTTATTATATGTTTACAAAATAATTAGCTAGAAATCAGCATCAAATCGATATTTTGCGTTTTCTTGATTGATGTGCAACTGCCGAGTCTCAAATTGTCATTGTTCCTTACTGTTTGCGAAAACCCCAGGAAACAAGTCGTATCATATAGAGGGAGCAATTATTTGGTTCATTTTTTTCGACTCGTCACTTTCACAAATTATTATTGGTAGTTCTACTATCTTGTTTTCTCTTTTCTTGTAACAATCGTTTGACCTCTACAAACCTTTTAACTCTCATGTGAATTGCTTGATGTGTCAAACATACTTCTGAAACAGTATCATAGGCTATAAATTCCCTTTCAAGACCACCTTTTGCCACATCCTCTTTAACTTCATCTTTCATTCCATGGCCACCTACACATTTTAACACTCAATTCACGAGAAAGATGTCTGATACTGGTCATGAGTACATTCTTATCTTTTCATCCTAACCACGAGTGGAGCCAAGACACCAATTTAAAGAAGCCTAATTGCTTGTGGCACCTTTGATGGTTAAATTCACGTATATAGAAAGATGAAGTTCTCACTCGCTTGTGAACTGGGATGAGAAAGATGGGTATAAATATTTCGACTTGGAAGTTGAACTCCCGGACTCTTCTTCTTTTATAAAAAACAGACAAAAGTCAACTTTCAACTTTCAACTTGCACCAGTCCATCTACAAACAGATCATCATACAGACAAATCATCCAAGAAACACATCACATAGTATTTCACAGATCAATATCAGACGTACAACAATAATGTCTGACAACATCACCATGTCTGACAACCACAACCAATCTACATCTTCTCCTGGCCGTGATGGAACTCAATTCCAGGGACCACAACAACCTGGAACCACAGACAGCTCCAATTCCCCAGAGACCCCAGAAACTATCACCTTGGAGCAGACCACCCTTTCCCACCATGCCGAATACTACAAAGACGTCCAACCACTCACCAGTGAAGAATTTGACCGTCTAATGCTCACGCCCGCAAACTTCCGCCGCATAATCAACACTTTCATAGCTCGTAGCAACTATATTCAAGCAAAGCTCATAGACAATGACTACGAGCCTTCAATCGCCACTCCACCAGGCGGACCTCGACTTGAGGAGCGCATCGAATACGCCCGCAAATACCGGGCGCTGCGAGATGCTCTCCCAACTTACACCGCTAACACCCATGAGCTCGTTGACCCGCCGCTTTTCCACGGCGAGAACGATAAAGATGAGGTCGAGTACGAGGAGTGGGTTGCTGCGATGCGAAATAAGATGAACGTCAACAGCGAGATCTTCGTGAATGAGGAGATCAAAATGGCTTACACGCGCAGTAGGTTAGCGGGCAGTGCTTTCAAATTGATGATGGATCAGGCGTACTTTAGGCAGAAGAGACCTTTCGAGTCGGCGGAGGAAATTCTTCGTCAGGCTTCATTATGGTGCTAGTCAAAATAAAGCGGTGGAAGGGTTCTTTTTTTATTTTTTTCTGTGAAGTTAGAGATAGTTCATAGATCGGTGACGCATGTTCAGGTTGAGAAATTAATTTGGGAATTTCATTGTATGGAGTGATTAGGATAATAATTTGGAAGAATGAGTTTCATCTGGACCATCAGATAGCCACAATAGCAATTCATGGTATCATAATATATTCCTCTCACCTCTAACTTCTAACCTCAAACAACCTGATCTTCCCCTGTTCATTCGCAATAGCCAACATACTACTCTCTCCATTGAACGCCACAGCGGTAATTCTTCCCAGCGGCGTTTGACTCGTCGGCCAATTCCTATAGACAGTACAACTTGGTAGATGCACCAGACGTAATGCATCTTTCTTCCACTTCGTGCTGAAAACCAGTAATTGCCCATCAGGGCTAATTTCCAGATTACTCGTCGGCTTGGTAAGTTGCTCGAACGTTTTATTAGGCTGTGGTCGCTCTGGGACAATGATTTCGTTTTTGGGTGAAGCGAAAGCACGTCGATCGTAGATATTGACGATACCGCTTTGTGAGCCAATGACGATCCATCTGTCACCACCAAGAGATTCTGGGCCGTTCTTTCCACCGAGCGTCATGACTGTAGGACCATATCCATCATCTATCCAGCGAGCAAGGAACGAACGAGACTCGATGCTCCATTCGCCTACCTCACCCCCCTTTCCAACAATCGTCAGCCCTTTACTGTCCCTCCACCAAGCGAAATCAGCAACACCATTTTTGCCTTCTATCCTTGCTGACGCAATCCACTGTGTAGATGCAGCGTCAAGAATATTCAAGAGTCCACCTCCTTTTCTGGATGTCCCTACTAGAGCCATGTATGTTCCACATGGGCTCAGCTTGAATCTTTCCATACTCTTCTGCTCATCTTTCTGGCCATAAACACGAGTGACCTTTTGTATTGTACCCGTTGGCATATCCCAAATGTGGAAGTATTTCCTTCTTCCGGAAAAGAAGATTTTATCTCCATTTGGAGACAAGAATGCTGAGGTGTGTATTGGTGTATTTCGAACGTGGACTGAGGTGAGTAAAGGATTTGGTGTAGGATGAGCGGTAGGTGCAATGTGATGCAGATACAGGGTCGAAGCTAGACCTGAAGAGAGGAGGACTGGATATTCAGGATGGAAGGACAAAGAGGAGATCGCAGATGGCTGTACGAGAGGTATGTCTTTGGATCGTTGTATATCGAGAACTTCTGGGCGAAGTTTGGGTCTCTTATTCGTACTCGTCGGCGTCCTGGTCAACGAACCAGCATTCTGAAGTAGTCGCGCCAAGGGAAGGGTAGAGATATCTGTATCGTCAACATCCATATCGTTCGAGGACAGCGAGGAATTGGAAGCCGCTGAAGACCTCCGCCGACGCTTCGCCGGCCTTGCGGCTTCTTTCGCCCATTCCGGCACTGGGTTCATACGTTCGAATTGCCTTCGAAGACGCCTTGTGTATTCCTTGCCACTGACCACGTCATCTGCTTCACTTTTTCGAAGTTTCCTTAATCGAGGGTTGCCGGCGAGGGATATGGTTAATCGATCATCGTCGCTGTCTTCCCATGCTGGCGCATCTCCATCATCGTACTCATCTGAACTTGCCCTCGTAGCCAGCGCAGTCGGGTCTATTGTAGATGGTCCCGCATCAAGAAAGAAAAGCTGCGAAGAGTATAAGCATTGGTCGTTACAAATGGCGGGGTCTTTCTCACATCTGCATCATCTACATTCTCCAGTCCCTCTTCGGCCTCCTCGTCCTCTTCAGCCACTTCACCGTCGCTCTCATTGCGGCCGGCGTTGAAGTCATATGCCAATTGGGCTTTGAATCCAGCTCCATCCCCAAGCACTAGTCGGTCTAATTCTTCTTCTTCATCGTCCTTCGAGGCTATGCTGGGATTCTCGCTCTCGCTTTCTGAGTGGGCGCTTTCCTGATCGGAGTCGAGCGTAGTTGCGTTTCGCGAGATATTCTCAGCCTTGCGACTTTCCGATAGCTTTTTTGATCGTTGCCTCGTCATTTTGTGTGTTGGATCTCGATGTCGACTCCCACATCTCGAACTTTTTTACATGCCGCCAGAGAGAATTATTATTTTTGCAGGGGTTGTTGTTGGTCCGTGCACGAGCTGTCAAGCCCGAGGTTTTCATCCGTTTCTCCCTTTTTCATAATTCTTACAAGCGAGGACCATCGACACCGTTACTGATCACAAGTGTTACGACTCTTTGCAGGAACTTCATGCCTTCAGTACCCATTGATTTGCCTTCGTACATTCATGTCTCAAGTCATAACTAACTTAACGTCCATCATAAGATATAGATCCCACTCGTCCCCTGTAAGCTATCATCAATAACCCACTCGACACAGCAACAACTTCATCGTTATTCATAATTCATGCAACATAAGTCCATTAGAGAGCCAAAGACTTCTCACAACCTTCAAATAATAGAGACCGTCTGGCCAAGCCCCAACGAAACAGAGTCCCCGCGCAACACGTAAGGACGAAACTCAAACATTAGATCTCTGGTCCTAGCATTTGCCCAGGAGCTGAAGCCAGAAAAAGCCCAAAATCCAGTGTCTAGCGAGCTGTGTTGAATATATCGAGCTTTGGGAGTTCAGACCATCCGGGTAAATTGGCAACCTCCCTCAAGCATACTGCAGCAGCAACATACTTGAAACTGCTCAGTGGCATCTTCCCAAGGTACGGGTTTGTGTCCTCTAAGCTGACCGCGAAACAAGCTATACTCATTGCTAGCGCTTCATCCGAGGGCTTGTCACCATCCTTTATGATGCAGTTGATAATCCAAGTTGCATCCAGGTCGAACTTCTCCTTCATTGTCTTGGATCGCTCACGCTGGTATTTATTTTGAATGCCCGTTTTCCCTAGGATGTTGCCTGTGAAAGCTTCGAGCTCCGAAAGAGGGCGGGATGGATGGCTACTGTATTCAACCATAGTATCGCGGAGACAGTCTTCATACCTGTTAGGACAACAGTCAGCAGCGGCTAATTATATACAACGAATCATTCGGAGGGAGCTCATACATGTCGCGGATATCAGAAGCTTGGTCTAAGAGATACTCCCACTGGATACCCACAACCCTTTTCTGAACATATTCCCAGACCTTATCAATAATACGTGACCGGCGAGCACTACCTTCCGCCTCCACCCGGGCTTGTATTTTTGCAAAGATCTCGCGTTCGTCAATGGCACGATAGAGTTTCCCAAGAATCTTTTCACTCTTGTAGTAGCGATAAGTAGAATACTCGTCATCTTCGTCCTCAATTTCCATGGGGTCTTCGAAAGTTGGATCATCGAAATTGATGCCATCTTCTTCAATGTGCACATGAGGACCAGGTGCTTCAAAGTCAGGACGATATTTGTTACCAAATGGCATTCTGCTCATGTCCACCTAGTAAAGTTCATATTAGCATACTAGCTGGATATCTGATTCGAAAAACTTACGGGTATCCCGGTCTTGGAGAAGTCTACGGCAGTCGAATGCATTTCTGCCATCAAGAGGCATTCTGGATCATTAGTCCCTCCAGGTCGCTGATCAGCTTTAACGCGATGGTTGACAGCGATGCGACCTAGCTGGTCCGACTCCATGAACTGTAGGAAGAAATCGCTCATGTCCTCACGTTCTACTCTTCGGCCAATGTTCACGGGACTAACCTTGGGATAGTCTGCGGCCGCGAATGTTCTCTTAGGGCGAGCCAGTTCGTCCCACATGATATAGTATCGATCCCCATCCAGATCTCCGCCACTCAGCTTACTTGGTAGGTCGCGCGCACCCTTTTGACTGAAGCATATACAGTTTGACAGTAGCATTAGTGGAGAATCAGTCGGCGGCATAACGCCTTCCACAAGCTGCACATCCCCAGGGTGAAGAGCCGGTGATCTCGACACGATCAAATCTTTGCCAACAATATAATATGGTCTGTCATCTTCGAGGACAGCGCAAAAGATTTGTCCTTCTTCCAAGAAACCAGTTTCATCCATAATTCCGTGAAGGTGATAGCCTTTCTCGACGGGAATTCTTGTTTTGTGTTTAAGTTTGCGAAGTTCAGATAATAGAGCCAACTCAACAGTGTCTTTCAAGAACTCATCATGAACAAAATCTAGATTAAGCATTGCAAGCTCAATGATGAGCCAAGGCAGGTGAACGGTTTCGCCAATGGATTGTTTGGTGAGAAACTTCGAGGCACTCATGGGGTTATCAGCAGCCGCCCGAAGAGATTCAACTTCTCTTGCTTGGAGGTTAAGAAAATAATCATCCTCAACGCCCATGTCCTCCAATATCTTTATGAGCTGTCGATTGAGATACATCGGCAATGGTCTATAGGCTGCTTCACAGATCTCCAAATCTGCAGATTTGGAGCCCCTGAACTTAATCATCGAATCGCGAACCACAAGGACGTTTCCTTTGAGGCGGCTGTCGAGGGAAATCATCCCTTTCGCGCCTAAAGAGTTTCTTATGTCACAATCATGAAGTCTATATTGCAATACAACAAATGACAGATTTGATTCTTACCTTGAAAGCGGATCTGTAGACACGTAGGTGGTACAAGTCGCTTCTTTGGCAGGCGTTCCCAAATAGTCCTGGCCATTGCTTTAGACACTAGAGATGGACTAATTAGTAAAAGACCAAAATTCCCAACTGGGTGCCGTGCATGGGAGGACCACAGGATATAATACGCACTTGTGCCAACCCCATCGCTAAATGTGCGACCATTCCTCTCGACATCGGGTATTTCCTGGACGTGTCTCAGATCAATCCTGACAGCAGTACGAGTATCAGAGAATGTTTGTCCGATTCGTGCTGCGCACTTAGCAGGGCACTGAATGTCAACAAAATTCCCTAAATCTTCAATAATGGTGTGATATATCTGAAGTCGGCCCTCAAAGACGAAAGGGTTATAGAACCATACGGATTGTGCTCTAAGAGAAGAATGCGAATAGCCGAGGAAAGTATAACAGCGCTCTGCGATCTTGATTCCACTCTTAAAAATTTCCTTGAATCTCCCTTGTAGTATTCTTTCATTGGATACGCGAGGATTGAACCGAACGGGTTGCCCATCTTCATCACAAAACTGTACGCGCAAGAAATGGCCGTGATGATATGGATACCTTCGCAGAACACGATTGTTACTTTCGGGTTCAGGTCCATGTAAGCGAATAGTTGAGGGGGTGACTCTAGCCCTATGAATAGTCGCAACATTCTCAGAGACGACTGCTGACTCGTACCCACCTTTCATCTCTTTCTCCGCCACATCTCTACAATCTCGGAGAGTTTTCGATAAGGTTTGAACGTCAAAATCTGCTGCATCAGTCTCTGGGCGGTGATAGCTAATGCTATTTGCAAATTTCCTAGTTGCACTGACAACTACGTTCGTTTCACAAAGCTGAGACAGTTCGATGAAAACTGGTAGAAGTTTGAGAATAGTAAATGGCGAAAGATATCCATCTTGGGCAAGAACCTGTATTTGGAACTTCAGACCAAATGACAACGGGCAATTCGGGCTTGCTAGCCAGCCTCTCAACTCGGTTAATCCCTTCGCATAGACTTTTGGAGAACAAGCAACACGGGTCGTCTGGTGCAGCACCACAGGCATGCCACTTGTGTGTTTGAGGCTCTCCATAAGACCTCCCAGTTCAACGACCATATAAGACTGGGTATACTGGTATCTTTCCAAAGCAATGCGGTACACTAGACAGCATCCCGCAATGCTTTCATGCTGTTGGTCGATGAATGGGAGACGAAATCGATCAGGACCTTTACGACGCAGTCCATCGCGCGGTGGGGAGGGTGGAGGTCTCTGGCCCAAACCCAAGCGAGCAATGAGTTCTTCGATGGGATCATCGACAACCTTCTCGAAAAATCTTGGAACCTCCCACATTGTAAAGGTCACAGCGGGGTCATTGCCATCTTGTGTGGTGACCTCCAGTGTGCTAGCATATCTGAAGTCCAGGCGAATACCAGAATCGAGCGTTAGCATCATGACACGCTGACCGAATACTGCAGTGCCGCGTACATTCCATGTAATTTGTGGTGAGAACACCACCTCATTTTCTTCAACATCCCAGGATCCCACAGCGACAGAAGTAGAAGCGAGTCTGATAGGTTCTTTGTTGAATCGAGCAAGATCGTGTTTATGTTTTGCTGCAGGAATTTGCTTTGCGCGCTCTTCCGATTCTCTACGAAGCGATCTTAGAAGGAAAGGACTAGCTTCCCGTGTGCTTTTCTCGAAGTATATGGGCGAACCCTGGAATTTGATCATCTCAACTGCTCTCTTCAATAGCCGCTCACGGCCAAGTGCTTTGACTTGACCATGACGGGCAAGGAACTTCTGGCCGTCATCGATGCTGAGAAAAGTCAACGACGCAAAGGGCTTTCCTTGGCCTTTCTGGCAGTCGACATCCTGGATAGATAATTTAGCGAACCATGGTTTGAGACAGTTGCGCAAGCTTTTGTCATTTGATTGAATTGGAACATTCCGGACGTGGACCTCCATGGCAGCAAGTGACTCAGCAATCTCCAAGGCTTGGGGTGTTGCAGGTGGTGTTTATGCGGCCTGCGAAAGCAAGCAGCGAGCGGTGCCTTTGTAGGACTCTTGTATAGACCCGAGGTTGCGATGGTTCCAAGCAAAATCCTGCTATGGAAAGCCAGGCGGTCTGTCTCATAGATGCCGAACCAAATTCAAGAGAAGAGACTGATGAGGGGGGAATGAAGTATAAAGCAAACGAACAAGGCTGCGAATTGTTCAAGCCCAAACGACAGGCTGCATGATATGCGAGTTTCCGAGTTATGCCTGCTTCAATTAATTCTTTTCACCTACGATTCAATCCTGGATAGCAATTTCGCATCGATCTGAAAGAGGATAGTACTTTTCGGACTGAAGTCGATCTATCAACGCGGATTATGTTCCATAGACAGGAAGAAGGACGACGAAGGACGAACAAGGACGTCGCGACGAGAAGTCCTCGAAGCTCCCGAAATCATGTTCAACGCGTCGAGGCCCGTGCCCAAGTGACTCCCCGAACTCACTTCCGAATCTCTGAACAGCCCGCTTCACGACCTGCGAGCTGGCCTCCCTCCATATAGGCTCATAGGCAGACCTTTTACGGCTTGCTCTGAGCGGCTCTCCAAGCACCGGACACTTGAGCCTTACAGACATAAAGCCAGGCTCTATACAAAGCCCTCAAGGATCAGTGCCTCGGATCAGGTTGAGCAGCCAGTTCGATACCTAAAAACGTCAAAGACGCGTGAAATTACACGTTTCTACCTGAGCAAATTTTTCACTAAAGCACCGATTACAGCATGTTAGTTTGTCTTGTATTCAATTACGACTATATATCCACTACAGGATTACTGTCTTACAGGAGCTTCCTGTGTTCGTTGAAATCGATTACCAATGCCCCAGCTTCACGATGTCACAACCATTCATATTTCCTTATTTAGTACTACCTTTCGTTCCCTGGGGATATCCATTTCCGGTCATTGATCAGAATATCACGTTGATATCGTTGGACAGAATGCGGAAGTACTATGTATCAGGAGGATATTTTAAACTCATCCAGCAAAACCCATTTGGAGCAAAACTGATTGAGCAGTGTATCTGCCTCTAGGAGAGAAATACCGAACCGTACGAGATGCCATTCTTTCAAACTGCTAAACCGTTCTGAAAACTTACCCTTTTCTAGTGCTGTTTTCAACTATGTTAGCTTAGACCAAAGAGAAGGCATTCGCCAAGGTAGTTCAATTTACACCCAAAATGGTATGTTACAGAAAGACTTGACTGATGCTAACGCTACCAGGTAATGTGTAGATCCCCAAACTCAATGTTCAGGAGCATCCACTTGCAGGCAGTTCTTACTATGGAAGGAACCTATGAAGGATTTTCTCAACAAATTCTGTGTCCGTTCCCTGACAGAAGTGAGAAAGTTAGACTACGTCCTTTCCGTTCTCGAAGACTAGGAGTGGAGGTGTGGATCTAATCCTGAGGCTAATAGTACAGCGGGTCTGTGCACAGTAGAATGATTGATATCAACACACCAGCACACGTCAAACCAAGTTGGTTCATATCCAGTGAGTTCAGAGTGCCTAAATTTGGGGGATATATACTTACCCACCTTGACTATGTAGTCGAATGGAATAAGATGGAAAGGTTGTATCGAAGCGGTGCTCGTGGATTGAGGGGGGTGCTTGAAGATTAACCTGTAAATGTTCACCTTCAATTATTTCTTCTCAACAAAAACTCATTGCCAGGGAAACGACGAGATCTCATACAAAACTTTTCTTACCTTGAACGCTCCTTGGAATTTCTCAAACGCTTTTGCCCTTTCTGTCAGCCCCCGTCTTCCTATCCGAACTTTTGTTACAATTCCTACACAGACTCTCTCAACCATCCTCTGGCGAATATACGTTAGATCGGACACCCGCCCGTACGATACCACAGATGCACTAAGATGCAGTCTTCTACTCTTGGCGATACCTACGCTGCATACAAAGCGAGCACGACGGAATTTACGACGTGGTTGACAGGCGAGGCAAAAGCCAGAGGCTATAGATCGCCGAACATAACATCTCAAACCACTACAATCTCATGTGTCGAGCTTCTCAAGCGAGTCGATTTCATAGTCTGCGACTCATCGGCGAAACTTTCTGTGCCGATTTCGATACAGAATGTCCTCCAGCTTGCGATAAGAGCTCGACGAAAATGCAGTGCCTGGTTTGAGGCTATGTCAGACATGGCAACTGAAGTTTCGGAAGCTGAGAAGCAAGAGACTACAAGAGATGGACACCTTCATTTTATCGAAGTTCTAGAGAAAGCATTAGAACACTTAACGCCATTCTTCGGAGAGCCCCCCAAGCGAAAACGAACCAAAGCCAAAAAGGAAGCAAAGCAGTTAAGTTCGACCACGAGTTCAGGATGTGACACAGGAACGCTCTCGAATCGTTTCGACATATTGGAGATTGAGGTCCCACAAGATGATTGCAATTCAGGAACACTGCCGTCGAGACAAGATACAAGAGTCCCTAGAGACGGTCACTCAAAAGCTGAATTGAAAGTTGATCTGGAAGTCAACAAGGAAGACGATGTCAAGTTCGTTGTCTTTTGCTTTTTCGAAGATCTCCGTGAACTCCGAGAATTCATACAAGCGACATGGAAAGACGCTATGACGAACGGGCCCGACATTTCCACTGCCTCATTAATAACCAATGTTGCACTTGATCATGTTTCCAAGAGCGAGGAGAACATTACCTCTCTAGTAGCAAATGACGCTGAATGCTTGGGTAACTATTGGCAAGTCTTTCGCCACATAGCTCCCAAAGAACATTATTCATCGCCCGAAAACAGGGTAGGGAATTGCGCGAAGGTTAGTATGAGAGACACAATTTACCTCTGCATATACCATGCGCTTCGGAACTATATTTTGCAATCCAGAGAAACACAGCCACGCCGGATTGTTCCTTGGGTCAAACCCCTTGGAATGGAATTTCTAAAGTCTATCGATGACTTTGAGACCCTAGACGTAGAAAGCGAGGAGTGGTTGATCAAAATGTTACATGATCTTTGGCTTGACAGATATTACGATAGCGCTGAGGAGGAAATGACCCATATCAGACAGGCTGGTTGGTTTCATAAGTCACGGCCCACTTTCTCCACTTATCGTATTGTGCAGATTGAAGATAGCATCACACGCGCACTAAAGCTAGCCCTAGGCACAGGTTCGATCGCTGTTACATCTGTTTTTGCAGCACGAATCATGCTTGACATTCACAAAATCGTGGGAAATGGTGCCATCAAGCTTGACGAGAATTTGCGCCATCAGGCTGCAACCTTTCCCCGTAACCTTCAAGTGGTTTGCAAAACAGAACATGATTCGATGGCTCCAGTCGCAGGAATAGCTGAGCCGTGTTGTAACTTTGATCGTAGAAATCGTGAGTCGGGACTGGCCTGGGTTTCTCAGAAGACACGTCCTAGAATGGCCAATCTCAAGTCAGGATTCATGGGCTTGGATCGGCCCAGTTCAATGCCAAAAACCAAACACTTGACCATCGACGATCCTCGATGCATTCAGGTGTCCGAAGATCCTGGGTTTTATTATAAAAATCATCCATTGTGGATTGGCCTAGAGTCCTTTCGGTTTGAGATGCTCAGAATGGACTACGGAATGCATTGGATAAACTGCTCTGCATCAACACCTTTAGCGGCCCATATCTACAACGCTGTACGACAAGCCTCATTTCTAGATTTTAAATGGAGATCCTGGACCGTTTCATCGCCATACATCTTGGACAACTCTTTCGAGGATCACTTCCGACGAAGAAAGAGGAGATTGAGAACCGTCTTCTCATCTTTCTGGGGGCACCAGCGAAAGCATTTGCTAAGGACACCCGTGAATTAAATCTTCCTAAACACATCAGTCGGCCTTTCGTTATTGTTCCAAGGTGCCTGCATCAAGTCCAACCAATCTGGGATTACCTTTTCATGTCAGATGATTACGTTAGCCATCCCGAAAAAGTCCTTCACATGGGCGGATCTTACGGAGCAATAAGAAATAATTCAACAAGCCAATTGGACCTACTGAAACACCTGAAAGATTCAGTCTCAGAAATCTCAAAAGTTATCAAGCTGGACTATCTCACAGTCGCACAGCAAAGCAACCAAATCATGAAAAATGTTACCGAGCAATTACAACGACAAGGCCTGTGGGGTGTCCCTCCAGGGGTTGAGATTCAGGCCAGCGCAGTGAATACTGCTTATGCAATGGATCTTCTCATGCGCGACTTAGACATGCTAAATCTAAGAACCAGAATCAAGTGCATGGCATTCTACTGCCAAAATCTTCAAGGAGAAGATTGAACGTTTTGCAAGTATTCCTGGGTCAATAAAACCGCTTGAGCCGGTGTTGAATCCCGAACTACCCTATGAGCTACAAAAGCAATCAAGAAGAGTGCTTGAAATATACACAGAATTCGAAAGGCGTTCTGCGCTGGGTAATATCCATCAAAAGTGCTAAGTAGGTGCCGCAAGCGGTCGGGTTCAAGGAATCAACGTGTGTTGTTGTTATTTAGGAGCATGGATCAATTATCAGTCACGTTTTCCATCATGAAGACCTTGATCGGTACCTTCGTAAGCTGGTCATTTGTTCAATAATTAGAGAATCTGTATCAGGACTTGAGATGTATCTCTTTCCTCAACCGTCTAGATTTAATAATAATTTCAGCAAATCGGCGTTTATGTATCTGAGAAGCTGCATAAAATATTCAATCACCTGCCTAAATTTTCAATTTCCTAGACTCTCAGTGCCTGTTTCTACGTTCAATACTATTAGCTATAGAAAAGGACATGTACTTTAAAAGATGAAGTCCACTCCATATTCTTCCTAAATTCATATCATCTGAAGAAGATATTCTACCACTGGTTGTTACTTATGTGCTAACCCGTACGATTTAATCAACGATCGACGAAATCCAATTCGTAGTAGAATCTTTTTCATCCATCTTTCACTTATTACTCTGGAGGTAACAACAACGCCGTAGTCAATAGATCACGACTTTGAATGGATTTTGTCCGCATATGGCTTCCAAGAAAATTAAGCACTCAGCGGTATAAGGTACTTTTGAATCTTGATTCCGAAGGCATCATGGGTGGCAGCAGGTTTTCAGATATTATAGCGGCTTAGCAATTTGAAGTGTTTGAGCAACGGAATAATGGCTGAAAATACATTTTACGATCACTCACTTTATGGACGGGAATGTTGAACGATAAATGCATTTGAATTTTGTCTAGGCCCGCTAGGTGTCTAATTAACCGCTAAAGCTGACGATGGAGGATTGTAAGTTACTGCGGAAACGAGATTTACAGAAGGCTTCGAAACTGAATCTTCCTGTTCAGCTGGACGGTCCGGTTTAGTGTTCTCTGGTTCCGTTGATTGTTCGGGGCTTTTGTCTTCATGTTCTATCGGGGAGTCGGATTTTGCATCTTCATGCTCACTTTTAGCTCCTTCTTGCGGAAGATCTGGCTTCGAAGTCTCTGTTTCCTGATCCGATACCTTCTCGGCTTCCTCCGGCTGTCTAGCGTTCGCCCTCTGCTTCCACAATCTGGGCAAGAGAATAGCATACGACTGCACCAGCTCCTCCACATAGTTCCTCGGAGGATGTCTATACCAGTACTCTGCTTCTCCATCTTCGACCTTAAGATCTGGATGCAGTCCACATAACAATGCAAACTCGGGTTTTGAGCCGATTTCAACTGCGGAATTCACATATCCTTCTTCAATAACGATAACAGTTAGGGCCTGCCAACATGTACATAGTTTAGGAAGGAGTAGAACATACCATAGTCTTCTGCTTCGTCGAAGCCCCATTCCTTCGCAATACCAGAAATAAACATTTCTGAAAGGTTATAGACTAACGTTTCTTCTGGTGTATCAAGTTGAACAAGAACCGGCCCAAATTCCAAAGGAACATTACCAGCAAGGTGGTCTCTGTAATCCTGTAATGCTCTCTCTGTTGCTTCCTCATTCAGTCCTAGCCATGCCAAGATTGCTTTCTGGTCGTCAAGGTCTGGTAGGTCCATTGACGAATCATAGATCTCGCGGCCGTTCACAATTTTGGTATCGGAGCTCAGCCAGGGATGTAGCCGACGGGGACCGGTCGCTTCAATTTCACGCTGTAGGATACTTTGAAGTTGGGGCGTCAACTCGAAGACTAATTTAGTTGGCGACATCGTAAATTTGACGTGTCGAATCCAAGGTGTGGTCGTGATAGGAGGGTATGATCTGATCAGAAGATAAAAGATCGTGCGAGATGAGCGCTGTGTGAGATAACAAAGAATACCGGTGAAGTAGATGTTGAACAGAATAGATAATCGGTGAAGAGGGTGAAAGTCTGAATAACAATTCGAGAGACGAACCAGACAAGAAGATGTCTATATAAGCGACCTACAAAGTGATCAGGCCTGGATTTTGCTGCTCCCGAAATAGGTTGTAACCGCTGTGTAAGCGCCGAAGCAAATGCTACTTCGTAGAGTGTTGGCTTTAGCTATGGTGGTGCGCAGTGACGCACCGTCTCAAAACTCCAGCTTGCCGAAAACACCAAAACACCAAAACATAATATTTGTACAGCAATTGTATGGTTAATCGATGCACCCGTATTATAGGTATTCTATAGTTAGCAACAAGTGACATTATTAAATTGAGACTATTTAGCTATATATAATAGGTGATATATCGATAATTCGTAGTATTATAGAAGCTAGAAATTACGCATTTACGTACTATATAAAGCCGTATATACGTATATAGCGATAGACCTAAACTACCTATATACACCCCTATACAAACTAGCTAGATCTTCTACTTCTAAGTATACGTTAGTATATAATATATAAACTATACCTTAATAAAGTTTCCTTAATTAAGGAAGAGTCCTACTAGCTAACTTTATATATTACTACGTAACTACCTAATCGAGACTAGCTTGACTGTGGAGAATTGTGGAGAATCAAGTCTGAAATCTCTCTTATTCGGTGAAATCACATCGCGCCGGCTTCACTGGTCCACAATCGTCTCAATTGCTATTTTAATGTTCGATGTTGTTAAGCTTGGTACCCACAACTTTGATGTTTGTTTCTTCTAAAGCCCACTCCAAATGATTGGTATTGATGGCTGTCCAGCGCTTATTCACGAGCAAAATTCAGAGGGACTACCCATGCTACTGTTTTGAGATGGGAGCTAACTGTGGCGCCGACCTTCGCTGAGACCTCTTGCGCTCAGCATATTCGCATTCAGATATTTCATGATTGAATGAACCTTTTTGGCTTGATGTTGGTGTTTCGGGTGATGAAAAGCAGAATTCTATTTTTACATTAGCCGGTTTAGCTCTATGGAGTCTGAAGTCGAGTTTTGTTGAACAGTAGGCAAGTCATGGGGAATAAATATATAACTAACAACTTTCCACGTCAATGGTTGTGTATCAGCAATCACAAGTTCTTCATACTGTTCAAATCATCTTCTATCTCATCTCATTCTCAGTCGTTTGCACTCTTCTTGTTGATTTTATTGCAAATCTCTACATCTTTCAGTGCTACTGCTCAATTTTCATCAAGCATTCTTCCCTTTGCCCTGGTCTCTTCGATTTTTATATCGAAAAATGTCCGATCGTAATTACAGAGTTGTAGATGCAGATCCAGAGTGGGTGGAGAGAAATAGGCAAACGTATGAGCAACAGTAAGTGTGTTTTGAGTCATTTGCTGAGATTTTATCTGGGAGAACAAGCTAATCAATATGCTTGTAAAAGTCAAAATAGAACACAAGATATCTATCGCTGATCATTAACTAAGAGAGCTGAGCGATATATCGAAAGCGGCAAAAGAATAGACATACAGACTAAGGATGCTGGAGACTTCAATCGAGCAGGCGAACCAGCTGCGTACTTTGCTTACAATGTTGAGTATGCCAAACAATGTGCGAGAGGTCCAGATCACACTATTGTAAAACAGACTGTCCCTGTAGAGTTTTGCAGAAGCCCAAACGCATACGTATATGATGCGAAACCGGATAAGCAGTGGCAGCGAGTAAGTACCACCTCCCAGTATACTTCGAAAATGTTGTCTGACCAATTTTCTCCCAAAACAGAGAGTCCATTGTGATCGTCGTAGCGAAAAGCCGTCAAGACGGGACAAGAAAGAGCACAAATATGAAGTGACCTCGGGACCAATTGCAACATGCCACAACAAAGCGTTTGGAAGAAGTGAGGAAATGATGCCAATGGAAAAGTACAAGCCAGCTGAGGACACCAACGGTAACTATTACCAACAGGTCTGTTTTAAGGGAGAAGCATTGGAGCAGATCGGGAAGTATCCTCGCGAGATTTACCGTGGAGAGCCTGCGCCTGTTCGTAGAGAAGCGCCTCGTTATGAAGATCGAGAACGATCTCGGTATGATGATCGGGAACGGTCTCAGTACGATGATCGCGAGAGGCGCGAGTATGGTACTCGGGTGTATGGAAACCCAAACAGCTCTTCATCAAGGGGATGAGTCGAACTCACAGAGTACTTGCCGATAGGTCGGACTTGATGTGTGCTTCGAAGATGGAATTAATAGTGAAGACGATATCAGATTCGAGCTGGCTTCTTTTGATATACATGTTTGAAGGGATTTGGAATTATGTGTATGGAGCTAGAGGTTGTATATTGTATAGCTAGATGAGAGAGTGTTGGATTGTTTGTGTTTAATTATTGCTACCAGTACTCTGGATGTATCAACATGTGTTGCTGCTTATGTTGCCGGATGTACTGCAATGCCTCTTTCTTGAAAGTGAAATTTCTCAAGGTGCTAAGATTACAATTCCGGGAAATGAGCAAGACTGAAATCTCGATGACCCCAAAGAAAGATAGATGTCCTACTGTAGTCTTTAATTGCCGCACATCTAACTACATCTAGCCAAAAGGCGATGTCACTAGATGTGAAGTCTCTTCCAACCAGGTATATCCGAAGCCATAAGCTAAAACACATCAAAAGTCGCGCTTTTAAGCTACTAGATCGATGTAAACCGGTATAGTTCTGGTAGCACTTGAGCCTTCTTATTGATCCTTCAGAAGAGACCCATAGAAATAGTGAGTGTCTGGTAGACGGATTGAAGTCGCTAATCTCGCTAAGGAAATCGCGGACGGCGCGGACAAAATATAAGTCTAAAATTCACTTCACTAATAATTTTTCCATATTTAACTTTGATAACCTTATCGCTAGACATGTAGAAGTCTGACTGGGATCTTTAACCATCAGTGGTCTTTTCCAACCACCTTCTCTTCCTTGATCGATCCTTGAAATACGTGTTCGTCTTACGCGGTCAAAAATCGTCGCATCTCAGCAGTTGGTTGCCTAAGATTCCCTGATCGCATGTCAACTCTTCAAATCTTGACGAGTTTTCTATGGCTGATGCGTATAAGAGGAGAAATGCAGCCGGATTCATCCTTCCTATTCGGTCGTCGTGCTGCACCACTGTGCTCAAGACGAGGTAAGCGAGGACATCGGGAACAAGGGGTGCGGCTGACATTGAGCCCCTGAAAATGCTTAGATGCAGACAACAATCCTCAGTCCAGGCAAATTCTGCAGTCAGACCCCTATGATATTTTGGTAACAACATTTGAGGTATTTGGGCGCTCTTATGTCGGGGAGTTTTAGCCAGTTACAACGGCCGTTAGCAGAAATTGTGCTAGCTTTACGCGCGTTCTTCAAAAGAGCCATTTTCCACGCGGCAATCTGATCTAAGAAGTCGGACCACCTTCGGAATGAATTCCTTCGCAGATTTAATGAAAGTTCAGTTCACTTTTGAAGGTTACACGAGCCGGAAAAGACCCGTGTGAGTAACGCGCACTTCTTCCAATATAATTTCACGAGCGGTTGATGTCAATGTGGTATAACGCATAGCCGAAGCCGGGAGGCTTTTTTGACGGTTCAGCGCAGTGCCAACACCGCCACGAATCCTACAGTGTCTCAAAGCACACCCAATGTTGGATAAATGAAACAATTCTGGGTGTTATTTATCAAATGCATCGGCCACCTAGCCCTACAAGTCTTGAAATTTTCTTTGAAAGTCGGATTTTGATCACATGATCCGAGCTAGAAGTTCGTATTTCTCAATCACCTCAAGGGTAGATTGCGTAAGTAACAACAAGTGATTCCCTGGAGAGACATCGCCTACTGTAATTTCTTTGTTGGGTTGGACCCAACAGCTTTATACGACCAAGTGCGTGATTCGACTCACCAATTTACGTGGGCTTACTCACAGCTTCCCATTAAGAATAAGCAATCATGTCTTTCTCTCACAGTTATGAAAGCGGCTCCGATACCGACTTCGAAGACGAAGCTGGTGTTGGATTGATTTATCTCGGCAAAATCCAGCCTCATAGACGCTCAATGTTTACTTTCCGATTTCAATCGCGAGCAAGGCGGTGTTTGCAAGCTATCAAACGAAATCCAAAAGTCGTCAAGAGAATCTTCATCTCGTTCTGGGTACTCGTGGCCATTATAACTACTGCAGTTGGGTAAGCATGTTGACAACTTTCACATCAAGGAAGATACTAATCAGGGTTCACTAGAATCTGGTACTCCCTAGTCTTCGCACTGACAAGACGTCTTTCACCTCCAGCACAGTCGCAGAATGGTGTAGGTGAGGTCATATATCAATGGGCAGAACCTGGCTCAGCTTCAACTGCTTCGACATCGCCTGCATGGCTTCCAGACTTCACAAAAGACATAACTCCTATACCGTGTCATTCGCATAATGACTACTGGCGCACAACTCCGCTTTACGACGCTCTTCTCGCTGGCTGCACAAGTGTCGAAGCAGATGTCTGGCTCGAAGACAACGAACTCTACGTTGGACACTCCCACAGATCTTTGCGCAAGTCAAGGACATTCAAAAGTCTTTATGTCGATCCCATACTCTCTATCCTAGAGAACCAAAATTTGAAACCGGAAATCACCACTGCCGACGAGCGTATTCAAGGAGTCTTCGATACAAGTCCAAACACCACTTTGATCCTTCTCGTAGACTTCAAGACGGACGGCCACGACCTGTTTCCTGTCGTAGAAGCACAGCTTGAAACTCTCAGACAGAGGGGTTATCTCACAAGATTTAATGGTACTCACCTCATTCCTAGTGCAATCACGGTCGTTGGCACTGGTAATACCCAGTTTACCGACATCACTTCCTCCACCAATCGTACGATATTCTTCGACGCGCCTCTCGAAAAGCTCTCTGTTTCTCCAGAATACACGCCAGAGAATTCATACTATGCATCTGTTTCCATGACCAAGGCTGTTGGACATCTGTGGTTTAACAAGTTCTCCGCTGAACAAAAAGAGATGATAAAAGCTCAAATTGACGAGGCAACGAAGAGAGGTTTAGTGAGCAGATACTGGAGTGCGCCCGCTTGGCCTGTGGGATGGAAAATCAGAGTCTGGGAGTTCTTAACGGAGAATGGTGTTGGGATGTTGAATGTCGATGAACTGCAGGAAGCTTCGCGTTGGAGTTGGAGAGGGTGTGTTGTGATGGGTATCGGGCTGTGTTAGATGGTTTTCAGGTCTTATTTTTACCTATTTTGTTATAAGATACCCTTACTCGAGAGAAAATTGATGACTGACGAATTCAGTTTGTTTCCTAGCAGAACATCTGCACTGCGTTAACGTGTTCGCAACTTCAGAAGTGTGGGTCTAATTCTATACTTAGCGTGTGGGGACCGGCCCGGTCCTCGGGATCTCCACCCCGATAGCCCTCCTTTTCAACCCTGGAATCCTCAGCTCCTTCTCATCCTCATCCCAGACCAACATCACATCAACACAGAGTCGTATTCTACTCTACACGGCGTCTTGCAAACCTGGTCATTCGCTGCGAAAGTCACACAATGATTCCCCATTTGTTGTTTTGTGACACTCTCCCAACCACTCACGGCCTACGCACTCGGTGCGGAGTACGCCTTTTACATCCGGCCCCCATCCATGGATGTTGTGCTTCTTTACATGTCAGCTCGTTAATCGATCCTGTCAGATGGCACAATGGCCTCAAGGGTTATTATTTGGTGGAATCTCACCTACGACACGATTGGTCAATGGGAAAGCCCTTCGAATTGAGGATGGAATCTTGACCTCTTCGAGACAGTTGAGCCGCATGCTAAAAACATTGGCTTGATAAGCTTTCCCCTCAAAATGGAAAGCTGCAGTCTTGATCCTGCAGGGCTGGAGCCTTGTCAATCGTTCGTCCTTAAAGGCTCTTTGGGTCCTTTCAAAATCATCGTATGTGAATTGGTTAATGTTGCTGACGAGACCACGATCACCAAACCATTTCAATATGTCACAGGAATTCTTCCCCGGTGGGAGATCATCCCCCGCAAAACTACCGCCTCAGGACTTTAGACAGGATAAGATTCCTACACAGCTTCAGGATGACGCTCTCGTGAAGTTTTTCAGATATCGATACAGTGAACGAGACGATCTACGTAAGAGCATGAAACGCAAAGATTACGAGAGGTTGACTCGCGAAGAGAAGAGGATCGAAGATTTGAGGGACGTATTCTTCGAGACTCATGAGAATTTTGACTTGGTAAATGAGTACGAGCGCTTAAGGGTCGCTTGGAAGAACGACGCTATTAGTAAGAGTCAAACAGAAGACTATAATACAATTCATAAGAAGGTAGCCAGCATGAAAAAGATCGCGGCAGCACGTCGACCCGATCGCATTCAGCTCGAGCTCAATATACTGGACAAAGTAAAGAAGTGGGAAAAGATGCCTCCCGCTCGCGTTAGGAAAGTTCCTCCAACGGAAGAACCGAAGGTAGACGAGCCGGTAGCACAAGAAACTAAGCGCAGATTCCATCTGAAATTTGGGCACAAGAAGTCCTCAATTTCTGTGGCGCATCCCGCAAAAGCCAATTCAATAAAGTCTGAATACGTTGAATCCGACAACGACGACGAAAAGAATTCGGCCCGAGGTCGCTCGTCTGATTCATATGGAATAAGTGTTAGCAGAATTACTCTGGAGAAGAAAACAGAAAACTCATCGTCATACACCGGCTACAAGATTGACCGGTTTCCTTTAAATGATGTCTTATACGAAGACCCTGATGAGAAAAAAGAGATAAGGGACAGGAATCCACTTCGAAGGCTAGATCCAGCACTAAATCCAGGAACGATACGATACTTTCATTTCCCATCGAACAATATGCATTGGATTGAGGTAGTGTTTGCGAAATTAACAACATACGTTCAGACTGCTAATTCATCATTAGGAAGCTATCGCTCGCTACTATGGAGAGAAGTCCGGTGGGGAATTCAATTATAGGAAACACCCAGAATATAGGGAGCAGTCTTCCGACATACTATGTAGAGAATACTGGTCGTCTCTTCAGCACGGTGGAAAATACGACCCAATTCACGCTCGACATATGAGAGCACAATGTTCTTTGATAGTTCCACCTCCACGACTGGATAGAGCAAGCTCAACTACTACACGGAGTTCGCAAAGCAACAAGAACTTTGTGTTGTTTGTAGGTAGCTACCTCTTTGCTAGCTTGGTCTTCTCATTTGTTTCTCGTGACTACTGGTCTGTTACCGTTTGCTGACGTGACACGCAAACAGATGCCATATCTTCACTGGGAAACGCATCAACGCAGAAAGAAGATGGCCGAAGTCACAAGAGAGATAAGTCTTAAGCATGAAAAAAAGCAAGCTCATAAAACCGAAAGCCGGACAGACGAATTCAAGAGATTTGTCGAAGATCAGCTCATGGTCGCTAGGCGGATGACAGACTGTTTGCCTGATAAAATTACGCCGAGCAAAAAGAACGAACAACCAGTTCAAAAGCCGAAGCTCTTGGGTCAGTATTTGATGCAAATCTCTAAATTATATGAAGCCATGGATATTGAGCCTGATGTTCGTATGCTGCGGGACCATCTTCATGAAAACCCTCCGCTCCACTCTAGACGTACTCTTGATCAGTCCTATTATTGGAAACTCGCCAATACCGACAAAAGGGACGAAGATCAAGTGGTGTATCGCGCAACAAAGCAAGGCAAGAATATAGCAAGGACAACTAGAGTAATTATGGTAGATCAATTGTGGCTTTACATTCTTGACGAAAGTGAGACGATTGAGCTCTTTCCAAGATAGCTTCGCTAACCTCAGAACAGACACAATTATTTCTAGCTTTCCTCGGCGTTGGGGACGCAACAAGCCAGACTATTCTGGGGTTCATAAGGGTATCCGATCCATTCTCGACCACCTTCGAGAAGGGCAGATTCAATCTGTCTACGATCTAGGGCTCTTGATAGTCAACCAGTGCTCAACGGTATTTTTTGACAGGACAAAGCCGGTCGATGAGCGGCCTGAGCTTCTTGATATATTTTCAAATGCTTTAAGTGATATTGTAAGTCACATTTTCAATTTGCTCCGGGGCTTACACGTGCCTATCATACAACCACATATGACAATACATCAAATTTGATATCTGTGCTAATAGTGAAGCAGTCAGGCATGAAAACGATAGCTTTTGAGACATTCTGGCGCCATCTCGATAAGTTAAGTGAAGCTGACAGAAAATTTCAAAACCTGGAAGATGTAGCACGGAAATACCTGAACATCAACCCCGAAGGAAAGTTACTAAAAGAAGTTCACGACATCATTGAAGAACTACGAATGATGATGCGAATATACGCCCAGCAACAAACCGTTGTCCAAGATTTCAAAGAGCATCTCACCACCCTACATGAGCAGGAGCGAAAGCGGTCTCTGAAAATGCAAGCTGATGATACGCAACTTAACGTTTTAGTTGAGATAAAGAATCTACTGGGAAATAATTTCAAAGGGGCCGGAGACTTTTCTAGTCATTCGAAATCGTCAAGTGGTTCGAAATCATCTTTTTTTCCTGACGATGAACCTCTATTTTCACCTACCTATAGGCCAAATCCACCGGTTCAATCTGCTATAACAGAGAATACAATATTACATGCAAAGCGCGTTGCGGATAACATCGCGTTACGCAAGACTGAGTTACAAGAGCTGGAAGGAAGTACAGTGTCGATATATGAGCAGGTAGGTACCTAGAGCATGTAGGTCAAGGTTCGTTGCTGACACTATACAGCTCAAAGATCTTCTAAGTCTAAAGCAGCAACAAGCTAGCATAATTGAAGCTAAGCATGCCTTGAAGCGGGCCGACGAAAGTGTTGTCCAAGGCCGATCTGTCATGCTTTTTACGATAGTGACAATCATTTTCCTTCCTCTTTCCTTCATGTCTTCTGTATTCGGCATGAATGCGAGCGACTTTGATGCCGCAGATGGCAACGGTAATAAAATGACGCTGCAACATCAATTCAAACTGCTCTGTAAGTCTTGTAGTGTTCTCTCACAATCGATTCCCATTTAATTTCAGCTCCACGATTATTCAACATCTTGCTAACTGGGTTTATCAAGTTCCAATATCATTCGGCGTGATCTTGTTCTCTGTCTTCTTCGCATTCTCAGGTAGAGCTCGAAGCATGATTTACTTTGCAATATCAGTGACTTGGGCCGCATTTAGCAAATATACACATCTACGACCGCTCCTAGAAAAAATACCCAAGTCAGATGACGTCTGGGCCTTGCAGAAGTCGACAACTCAAAAGTTATATAAGCGGGGAGATGGAAGATCACAAGCTACTGAGAAGTTGGGTGGAGGTGTCACATCTGGGGCGAAAACTTCAGCTGTGAGATCTGGAAGTAGCAACTCTTCGAGTGATGGTGATTCTACGGGGTGTTTCGACGCTTTTAAGGGGTGGAATGACAACAAAGTCTAGGCTGGTGATTTTGTTGTCATCGTTTAGGAACGGTCCTATATAGTAATGTTCTAATTAACAATAATCGTTTTATGGCGTATAGGTTTTGTCAAGTCCGTTTATCAAAGCAAAGGTGTACTGACAGTCACGAAGTTCAAGTAGTGCGAAAATTTATTTAAGTTACAATTACTATATTTTAGTATTGATATTTTATTCCAAGCTTAGGTATGAAAGTAGGGCGGCTTGGCAAGTAAATATAAATAAAGTACTTACTGTATTTCATAAAGTCCTACTCTGTAACCTTATGGGAAAGCTCGGGCCCTTTAACATGTTGAATCTCCACCCCTGCAACGCCAGAAGACAGTGGGGACAACGCGCTCTCACCCCCACCATCAATATCGACGTCACGCAAAACACTGGACTCCGGCAAAGCCAGTCGAATGGGATTCATGAGATTCACGTCCTGCAGATTCCTTGACTCTAAGTCATCACACATACCCTCGCAGCGATTGCTTAGCTCTTGTGCCAAGGTTTGACCAACTACACTCTCCTTTGTCCATGTCAATTCACCAATCGTGAAGCTCGCCTGTCCATCTCTTGTTATTGCATTGCTTTCTGCCATTGTTGCTCAACCTACCACCGTTTTACTTCCCTCGGTCTAGATTGAATACTGCGATGTCTGCCAACGACAAAGTGGTAACTCGTCGCAGCGCGACGGGCTATCTGCCGATTGAAAACTATGGACTAATTGGAAATATGCGAACCTGTGCTATGGTGTCTCTCGATGGCAGCATTGATTTCATGTGTTGGTAAGTTATCTCCCATATTTGGAAATCCCGCGTGGTGCTTACAAAGCTAATGATGTGACAGGCCTGAATTCGACTCGCCGTCTATCTTCTGTAGACTCCTAGATAAAGATAAGGGAGGATATTATAGCATTGCTCCCCCGGAGATTATGAACTTCACAACAAAGCAACAATACCTACCGTCCTCGAACATACTGCAGACGAGATATATCAGTGAAGAGGGAGTGGTCGACTTGATTGATTTCTTCCCCAGACCGAGACATACCAATGTTGTGGCTAAGCTCCCAAAGAATATGCCATTCCGCGAGTCGATCGAGGTCCAAGATGAGTTGAAGAGATGGCTAGTCAGGAGGGTTGAGTGCATTCGCGGAAGTATGGACTTAGGTACGGTAGCCGCAGGCACTTCCGATGCGATGAATAGACCACGCAGCTAATATAGCGGAACGCAGATGTCCATGTCTTTCCAGCTTTCGATTACGCACGAGGCGAACATACCACAGAGATTCTGTTACCGGACCACCCGCCCGGATGTCCCGAGAGCAAAACGGTGGTATTCAGAAGCGCGACATCAAGTCTCCAGCTTGACGTTACAATCGATCATGGAGAAGAACATGCGGCATCATGCCCAACAGTAATCTTCGCAAAGGTAAAGAGCGGCACAAAAAGCGAAGGTGTGGTAGCCCGTATTCGGTTGCTTGAAGGACAAGCCATCTCATTCGTCCTTCGTGACGATATTGAAGATCATGTTACTCGCGATGTCACCACGCAGATTCTAGACGAGCAGCAATCCGCTACGCAATCGTTTTGGTTCAATTGGATTTCGAAAAGCAAATATAAGGGTCGTTGGAGAGAGGTGGTTTCAAGGAGCTTGATGATTTTGAAGTTGCTAACGTATGAACCTACTGGAGCAATTATTGCAGCTCCAACTTTCTCAATTCCCGAGGACATTGGGGGAACAAGGTATGTGCAATTTCATATCCGACTCTGTACTTTATTTTATGGATTATTTTGCCACCAAAGTAGAGCTGTTTTTTGTTTGGAATGACTATTTCGCATTTATTTCGGACGTTGAACTAACAAGCGCAGAAATTGGGACTACCGATATTCTTGGGTTCGAGATTCTAGCTTCACGATTTACATCCTTTTGCGGATGGGCTTTACAGCAGAAGCCGACGCCTACATGGACTTCATTAGCGAACGCTTCCGCAAATCGCGTGGATCTGACGGTGCCTTGCCTATCATGTTTACCATTAGAGGCGAAACCCAAATTCCCGAGATTGAATTAGAGTGAGTTTTTTTTTTTTTTTGAGCCTGAACAAGAAGTTCATCTAACAAACCGCAGCCATCTTGAAGGATATCGCGGTAGCTCTCCCGTTAGAATCGGTAATGGCGCAGCATTTCACCAGCAATTTGACATTTATGGGGAACTTATGGATGCCATTTATTTGTACAACAAATATGGTAAGCCAGTAACGTGGGAGCAGTGGGTTGCTGTGCGAGAGATTTTAGGTCAGTAAAGCCGTACGCGTGAGTCTGGCGCATGCTAACGTAGCTCTAGATTATGTTATGACAATTTGGAAAGGTATGGTTCTATCCCTGGATCAAGCTGCACATCAAGACGCACTTTTGTGCATTTATGCGTGCTGTTCCTAGCACCCAAGCTTGTGCTAATAGGCGGCTAGATCCTGATATGTCAATTTGGGAAGTCCGTAATAAGAAGCAAAATTTCACCTACTCGAAGGTCATGCTATGGGTTGCATTTGACCGTGGACTTCGTCTCGCAGACAAAAGGTGTTTCCCTTGTCCTAACCGTGCTGCATGGTTAGCTACCCGAGATGAGATATATGAAGAAATAATGGAAAGAGGTAAGTTATCTCACCCACTTGACTCACTATACTTACAACCTCTAGGCTACAGCAAAACTCTTCATTGCTTCATCCAGAGTTATGAGAGTGGAGATCTACTAGACTCGTCCATTCTTATCGCCCCTTTGGTCTTTTTCATTGCTCCAAACGACCCTCGCTTCACTCGCACAATCGACCGTATCCTCCTACCACCCGAAAAGGGTGGTCTAACATCTACCGGTCTGGTTTACCGGTACAACACCGAACATTCTCAAGATGGTACTAAAGCCTTCCTTAATCTATTCCATTCGCTCTCCCATGTCTAGCCGTTTGCTAACTTTCCCCAGGTGTCGGCGGTCGCGAAGGCGCTTTTAGCATGTGTACCTTCTGGCTTGTTGAAGCACTCACACGCGCCGGGGTTTATGAACCCAAATACTACGTCCGGGCAGTCAATATTTTCGAGAACATGCTCAGTTTCTCCAATCATCTTATGATGTTCTCTGAGGAGATTGCGAGAAGTGGTGAGCAACTCGGGAATACGCCGCAGGCATTTAGTCATTTGGCTTTGATTAGTGCGGCTTTCAATCTGGATCGAGCGGGAGAGGGAAGGCCGACGGATTGAAAAGAGACGAGAAAGGGATTTGGTTACCTATTTATAGGGAGATGTAATAGTTAATCTGACATAGACTACTTGTTAATTATTAAGGAATTAATTGGATACTACTATTAATTGTATTATTACTCTCTTGATAGATTAATTCTAGCTAACTAATTAGACGTTTGTTTTATTAGAGTTATACTTTCTATTATTTTTTAATATTTCTCTTCGTATTAATTGAAGTACGTTATAATTATAGGTTTAGGCTAGTAAATATCTTATCTTGTTGAAAAGTAATGAATTCGTAGAGACTATAGTATTGCTTACTCTCCTCGGAAAGACTTGTGGTTTAATACTTTGTAACAGAGAGGCTTTTATGCACAATGTAATCTATAGTCGATACTTTTAACGTTACAGAAAGGATTGCAGTGTTTGTATTATGTAGCTCTTCGTTTAAACTTAACAAAAGGATCAAGAATATTTTTTAAAAAAAATGAAAGGATCTCTGAAACTCGTTCGATGTTTATTCTTCCGATATTTCATTGGAAAAGGTAAATTCAAAGACTTCGTCACCACATGCAAATCGGTACACCCAGAATCCAAAAATCCTATCAAGGTACGAATCGTTGGTCATCACACCTTGGCTTTAACAGGAGTTTCTCCTGGAAAGTAGACTCAAACCAGACTCGACTTCCTCATCAGACGGAACGAATCGGTAAGTCATGAGGACCTTATTCAAACTCTCAGCAATTAAATCATCAAAAAGTGGTGTCATTAGTGAGAAGAAGAAATTTGCAATAGATTGGCATTAACTAGCTAGAAGCAACGCATCTTTTCCCTCACAATTCTTCTGCAAGCTTGTAATTTTCGAAGCAACCTAAGCACAAAGCGTCTCCTTCAGGAACGCGATCTGGCTTTCCATGCTCTTCTCAAAATACTCGCCGGAGTATATCTGGAAATGCGAACAGTCCAGCAGCGTCAGCTTCTTAGGCTCGAGCGCACGATTGTATGCGCTCAAAGCCAGATCCGTCGGTCCTCCGTAGTCGTGTTTCGCGACGACGAGGAGTAATGGCATGGGAGAGATACGGTCGATGAGGTGGGAACCGTTGTATGCTCGACCGTATTCCACGCTGCGGAAGGTAACGTCGTTCGTCCAGAGATCGGGCACCTTGGCTGCGTGTCCCGTGTAGTAGTCGACGGCCTCATCCATTGTCAGGCACGCTGGTACCGCTGGGTCTTTGCTCGCAACTGATAGCCTGGCTGGAGGCTGACCGGTAGCTCGACCTACACGGTCGCCTTGGAATAGCATGCTCATCATCGCGTGATCGGATGGCTTCATTAGACGTGCAAAAGCTGACGCCGCATCCGTGACAGGTACCTGTAAGATTAATTGTTAGATCAAGGTTTCATTGAAAGAAAGTCCTTCACAGTGTCGGTCTCTCATGACTTCAACATCACTAAATGCCAAAAATGCCACAATGCCACAATAACCACGGCCTCTTTAAGTAAAAGAAAGTGATAGAATTAAGTCAGAGTATATGAAACGCCATAATTCTCTTACCTGGCCGATCACAGCTTTCACGCGCTTGTCCGTGGCGGCGACCTGCAAGACCAAACCAGCAGCGAAAGAGCTCCCCCAGATACCGATCTTGTTCTCGTCGATTTCTTCCAAGGTGTGTACGTAGGTAACAGCGTCTTGGAGATCGGACATCTGGAACGCAGGAATGATTTCTTGACGCGGCTGACCTGGTGCTGTGTCACTCGACCCCCAAGAGCGGTGATCGTAAACCAACGCGGCAATAGGAAGGTTAGCTACAAATCTCTCGCAAACTTCATCGAGCCCGAAGTCCTTGAGGGCGGCGAAGCCATTGATGAGGATGATACAGGGCAGCTTGGATGCGGTGCTGGATTCTGGAGTGTAGAACCAACCGCGGAGAGTTACGCCGTCGTTGGATTTGAACTCGACGTCTTTGCGAGGCATAATGATAGGATGAAAGGCTTTTATTGATCTTGATATGGACAAAAAGAGTGTTTGTTGTTTGCAAGAGGATTTTTGGTGCTTGAATGTGGAAATAAGAACTACCAACCTTGCATTGTTGTCACATACGAGAGCCTTGTTGCTCTTTTTGTTGGTCACTTACGATAGTCTTGTTTTGACTGGTGATACAGGTCCGGAAGTGAGGATTTCTAATTAAATCCAACAAATCCAACATTTGCAGGATACGTGGCGTGGCATGGTCTGGTATCCTTTTCTGTAAAAGGTGTAGCCATATCAGTTGTGCGTAAGCTTATTCGCCTCGATCATCTTCGTCTCTTTCTCATGATAAGTGTCCTCCCTCTGTCTCGAAAATAGTCAGCCTAGGTTTTGTGAAACAGGCACGCCATTCCAGGCGATCGAGGGTCATTGAATCCGGGTGAAAGATATCTCAATTGGGTGTGGTTTTGCAACTGCCCTAAAACTCTGCCTCATTCCGCGATGTTATGGCCAACCAAGATTGCTGAAGCGATTACTTTAACCACGCTGCCCTTCATCCAAACCATCAATGAATGGGAACAGATCCACGAAAGCTACCTTTTTTCATGAGGTTGGCGACCTGCCAACCAAATTCTCAATCGAGCGGCGAGCAAGCTGCCGTCGTAGCCTACACCACTGGGAATTTATCCGGATGTTTCAAGGCAAGTATATTGTTGGTTTGGTTTAACTCCGTAGCGTATTGCAAGCTGTCGGGGCATGTTGGTATAGCAAAGTATAAGGTACCGTGCAAATTTTAAAGTCGCCGCGTAATATCCGCACCCGAGGACTGCGTTCCGCCTGCGATTCCGTACGCGAAAATGCGATATGCAACAAAACTTCAGTTTGTACCACACTCACCTATCATCATCTGCCGCGAGTCTAAGATGCGCAAACGCATGATTTCTCGCACGCGATACGCGACTGCGATTTGCAACAAAAGCGTCTTAAATGCCATAGGCGCTGTTCATTGGCGGTCTGTGGATAATTTTCACTCGCCTCTGCCGAGACGAGACAAGGTGAAAGCGAAATGTCGCCGCCGCCGGCGACTTTGTTACTATCCGCCGTTTGTTTACACCCGCGAATGCGAAAATCTGATTTTCGCACGCGTGCGATGTGCGACAAAACTTGTCAAAGTTCCGAATATTTACCGTTTTAGATCATTACCACAAAGAAGAGGCAGATATTTTATTCTCGCTCCCCCGACGATCAATATGTGATAAACTCGTCCGTTGGTGATACCTACGTATAGTATAACCCGCCCGGTCGGTCGACTTTT